TTTTAAATTCTGTAAAATCTGTGGTAATGTCTCCTAGATCTTGATACTGTAATTTAAAAATGTATAATTGATATTGTGTAATAGGAAGAAAAGATCTAAAGGAGCAGCGGAAGTGGGAGGGGTAGGGGAAAGGAAAAAAAGGGAAAAGAAAAAAGTGGAAACAAAGTCTTTGCAAATAGGGAGGGGTGGAGGAGGTGAAGGGAGGGCGAGGGAAGGGAAAAAAAATAAGAGCCAAGATACTCATGTAATGGTACAAGATCCCAATGATGAACGTAACTGTATTTTATACCTAAAATGTACCAATAAACTCAATGGGGGAAAAAAAAAACACTCACTGATCACCAGGGAGGAGAAGAGAAAAAGGAGAGATTAGGCTTCCACAAATCCCTTTGAGAATACACTACCAATGACCTAAAGATCCCCCACTAACACCACCTCTAAAGGTTCCACCACTTCCCAATAGGGCCAAGCAGGGGACCAGGCCTTTAACACATGAGCCTTTGGGCAACATCCCAGATACCAACTACAGCAGTGGCACCATTAGTTGATAAATAAAATAACATTGCATTCAAGTATTTTATAATTCATAAGTATACCTTAAAATATTTACATACTCAAATAATTTTATATAAAATGAATATCATGCATATATATTTGCCTATCACAAAATACTATTCTATATAAAATTTTAGAAAAATTTCTCCACATTTTCTAAATACAGTCTAATCACTGCATGTTTTTCTCCTTATTCCAGCCCAACTCCCTCTAGAATGTAAGCCTCTACACCATGAAAACATGAATCCCTTGCTTTTACCCTGGAATACAAGTTTCATAAGAGTAGGAACTCTTTGCTTGTTTGTTCTTTGGCTTTAAGAACAATGTCTGATAAATTCTAGTCACCTGCTAAATATTGCTGAATAATTGAATAAAATCTGTGTAGAGCATTATTCATAGTTAGGAACACTAAAGAAATCTAGCAGAGGGAATAAGAATAAATATATAGATTTTTCTTATGCCAATTATAATGGAAAATATTTATTAAGCAAATATCTAGGCTCTATATTAAGCATTTGACATGGAAATATTCTATGATATAACTCTATTATTAAGTTTATTTCTAAAAGTCCTGGAGGAAACTGAAGTTTAGAGAGGTTAGTACTGTGATTAAGTGCCTATAAACATGTTTTTCAATTTAGCAAAACCTGAACTATCTTCATGAGTTATTCTTTTTTTTTTTTTGGTACTGGGGATCGAACTCGGGTCCTTACCTTGTGAGGCAGGGGGCAGAACCACTGAGCTAAATCCCCAGCCCCATAAGTTATTCTTTATAATAGAATTACAGAGTAAAATAATGTTCAAGTTCTTATTATTTGGATTCTCAAAGCACACAGTGTGTAAAAGGACTGCAATGAACATTCTGACTCCTCAATCCTTGTACATAGCTCAGATTATTCCCAGAATGAATACAAATGTTGTCTATGTCACAAGGCTGTGGTGGGGGAGAGTTAATAAATGATTACAAAATTCTTTGTAAATATAGAGTGCTACAGAAATGCAAAACATCTATGACAACAGTAATTAGTTCTAATCACTATCTCCATTCTGTGTGCAGCTGTATCTCAAAATTTACTTTGTGAGTTTAATCACCAGATATCAATAAATAAATAACCTCCTCTTTCTTCGACCCTGCTGAGAAGCTGTCCTCATCTTCCCTCACTCCCTACTGAGCACCCCTCTCTCTACTTCTCCCCTTCCCTAATCCAAGTTGTCAGCAAAGGCTTAATATTGATATTAATACCAAAAAAAGAGGTTTGCCTGAGCCTTGAGACTATGAAAATCCTGACTTCCAAACAAAATTAGACACAGGAGTTGTAGAAATATACAGACCTTTCAAAATACAACTCACAGTCTTCCACTGTGCAGGAAGAGAAATTTTCCTCCCTTGAAGACCCAGTAATGCTCAGATAATGCTTTAGTTTGGATCCTGAGTGTCCCCCAACGGCTCATGTGTCCACAGGCTTTGTCCTCTGCCCATGGCTCTATTGGAACATAGTGAAACTTTTAGGAGGTGAGGCCTATTAGAAGGAAGTTAGGTCATTGGAGGTGGGCCTTGAAGGTAATATTGGGACCCCAGCCCCTTTCTATTTTTATAGCCATTATGAGGAGAATGAGCCTTTTTCTCCGAGTGTTGTACCATGATGTACTGTGCCATTAAAAGCCCAAAGCAACAGAGCCAAGCAACCTTGGACTGAAACTTCTGAAACTATGAGCCAAAATGAACCTTTCCTCCTTTCAAGTTTAAGTATTAGCTACTTTCCTGTCACTGGCACAAAATATCTGACACCCACAACTCAAAGCAGAAAGGTTTATTTGGCTCAGTTTCCAATGGGTTCAGTCCATGGTCAGCTGACTCCATGAGAGAAGTGGCATAGTAGAAGGGTATGGCCAAGGGTAGCTGCTCACCTGATAAAAGCCAGGAAGGAGAGAGAGACAGATAGAGACAGACAGACAGAGACCATGGACAAGAATACACCCTTCCAGGTTATGCCCCCAGGGACCCACCTCCTAACAGCACATTCAGCTACTGGACTCATCAATGGATGAATCCACTGATATGTATAGTGCCCCTCTTGATCCAATGACCTTCCAAACACATAAGACTTTTGGGAGACATTTAAGATCTAAACCACAACAATTTATTCTCTCAGACAATTTTCACAGTAATAGAAAGCTAACATAGGTAATTATGGTGAAATACTGAGTTGCAAATTATTGCTTATTAAGCAATGTGAGGCACATAATGGGCACCGAATAAAGGTAGCTATCATTACAATGGTCAATCCAACATTCATTTAGATACTGTACATTCTTGACTTACAACAATAACCATATGACGATTGTGAACCAATCAATGTAAGGAGATGTACATATATTATGAGTTTTGTAAACAGTTAGTATAGCCTGAAGCCTGAGTCTATCCAGAATGGATATAACCAATCTTGGCATCATGTTACAGATAAATAAGCATTGAAAAATAAACCAAAGAACCACAGTATATTCTACCTTTAACTTTTTGTAAACCATATTTTGTGGATAACTTCAGTTTTACCATAAGGCTAATATATTTCAATATTTTGAAAACATCAGTATTAATTTTTTTTTACATCAGTATTAATTTTGAGTTGGCAGAGGTAACTAACCAACTACCTTTATGTTTGGTACTAAGAGATATACCTTTCAATAAAATTATTGAAATGCAATAAAAAATAAATAACCATATGATCTGAAAAACTCAAGATATTTACTCTCTGGTCCTTTACAGACGGAGTTTGCTAACTCCTTACAGGATATGAATATAGATAATGGAAAGGTCTGAGCCCTAAGTCAATACTTAAAGATAAGAAATATAAGAAAGAAGCCAGGCGTGGTGGTGCACACCTGTATTCCCAGCATTTGGGAGGCTGAGGCAGGAGGATTGCTTTGAGTTTGAGGCCAGCCTGGGCTACATAGTCAGTTCAAGGCCAACCTGAACTATATAGCGAGACTCTGTCTCAAAAAACAAAAAGAAACAAGCAAAAAAGAAATATAAGAAGGATCAGTTTATGATATAGGTGGGAAACAAGGAGAATGTCATGTCTCCAAACTAATGAAGATCTTTCTTTTTAAGGGAATAATCAACTATGTTAATGTTGCCTACAGGACATGTAAGGTGTTCATGGGAATTAATTAAATGCTGGGGACCTTCCAAGAGCTAGCATAGAGAAGACTTTTTTTTTTTCCTAGAAAGGAGAACAGAGAAAAGAGCCTTAATCAGAAAGGGGTCTGTCAGGAGCAATTCTACATAATTTTAGAGAAAATAATTTCACAATTAAATTATGATTAGGCCTAGTTTTCCTGCCTACAGTCCAGCTATGGCATGTCAAGACATAACTCCATTTTTGCCCCCAGTCACAGCTAAAACCTCAATGGACAAGTGATGCTGTGATGCTCCAGGGCAGGATTATACCAGCTGAAGACATCCTGGTGAGGAACAAAATCTTCATCTGCATAAATTCGTCATTGTTCTAGGATTATCTCCGCTGCCCTCTGAGGGATCTCTTACTCCTGATGTCCCGAATAAAGGTATGGCGAGCTGAGCTCGGAGTCTTTCATCTTTGCTGCCCAGAGCAGCATTGATCAGGCCCAAAATTCAGCTTCTTCTCTAAGCTCGTTTCTTGTCTTTATTAATTAATTCACCTTGTGCTGTCATGGCTCACAGGAGACTAGGATTCACTGCAGGAGTTCTAGTAAGTCCCCTTTCTCTGTCCCCTACAGGGGTAAACAATAAAAGAAAGACATTTATTTTGTGTGGGTTTTTGTTTGTTTTGTTTTTTGGTACTGGGGCTCAAACTCGGGACCTTGCGCTTTCGAAGCAGGTGCCAGAACCACTGAGCTAAATCCCCACCCCTTGTGTGGGTTTTTAAAAGATGGTGTCTCATAGCACTTTTGTGTGCTGATGAGGATATGGAAATGATCCAGTGGAAATAAAAATGATGATGAACATAAAGATAGAGATATAAGAGCACGTTGAGGAGGGTGTTAAATTATGATACACATATTTCGTGAAAGCTGTATCCATATTGGTAAGAGATAGAGTTTCAGCAGTAGGGTGAAGCGATTCCTAATTCCCATATCAAATATCTAGAGTAGAAACGTCTCTCAAAAAAATAAATTAAATAAATGGGGCTATGTGCAGAGGCACATATCTGTAATCCTAGCTACTAAGGAGGCTGAGGCAGGATTTCAAGTTTGAGGCCAGCATGGGCAAATTAGTGAGACCCTATCTCAAAATAAAAAATAAAAAGGGGTCCGCGCAGCATGCCCGCCCGCGTCGCCCGCGGCCGCCGCTGCCACCACTGCTCCTGCTGCTGGCCCTGAGCCCGGAGACGGCGCGCAGACCTGGGCCGGCTTCGGCGTCCTGCGGTCCCTGACGCCGCTGGCCTCCACGATACTTTCCCCGACCGCTTCCTCTGGGCCGTGGGCAGCGCCGCCTACCAGCCCGAAGGTGGCTGGAGGCAGCACGCCAAGGGCGCGTTCATCTGGGACACGTTCACCCATCGGCCCCCGGGTGCCCAGTCACCTTTCCCCCCTGCCACTGGGGATGTGGCCAGCGACGGCTACAACAATTTCTTCCGAGACACCGAGAGGCTACGCGAGCTTGGGGTCATCCACTGCCGCTTCTCCATCTCGTGGGCGCGGGTGTTTCCCAATGGCAGCGCGGGCGCCCCCAACCTCGAGGGCCGGCGCTATGCTACTACCGGCACCTGAGGGAGAGGCTGCAGGAGCTGGGCCAACCGTGACCTGGCCGACCACTTCAGGGATTATGCCGAGCTCTGCTTCCGCCACTTCGGCGGCCAAGTCAAATACTGAATCACGGTCAACAACTCCTACGTAGTGGTCTGGCACTGCTATGCTGCTGGGCGCCTGGCCCCGGGAGTCTGGGGCAGCCCGCGGCTCAGGTACCTGGTGGCACACATCCTTCCTCTGGTTCATGCCAAAATCTGACATTCTACAATACTTCCTTTCGTCCAACTCAGGGAGGCCAGGTGTTCATTGCCCCAGGTTCCTACTGGAGCACTCCTCAAAGAATGACTGACCACTACATCAAAAAATGTCAAAAATCTCTTGACTTTGTCCTAGGCTGGTTTGCCAAACCTGTATTTATTGATGATGATTATCCTGATAACATGAAGAGTAACCTTTCATCTCTTCTGTCTGATTTTACTGAATCTGAGAAAAAGTTCATCAAGGGAACAGCTGACTTTTTTTCACTTTCCTTTGGACCAACATTGAGCTTTCAGCTATTGGAGCCCCACATGAAGTTCCACCAACTAGAATTTCCCAGCCTGAGGCAACTCCTCTCCTGGATTGACCTTGAATATAATCATCCTGAAATATTTATTGTGGAAAGTGGCTGGTTTGTCTCAGGGACCACCAAGAAAGATGGCACCGAATATATGTATCACCTAAAAAAGTTCATAATGGAAAGCTTAAAAGCCATCAGGCTGGATGGGGTTGATGTCATTGGGTACACAGCACGGGCCCTCATGGATGGTTTCAAATGGCACAGAGGCTACAGCATCCGACGTGAACTCTTTGATGTCGACTTTTTGAGCCAGGATAAGAAATTGTTGCCAAAGTCTTCAGCCTTGTTCTACCAAAAGCTAATAGAGAGCAATGGCTTTCCTCCTTTACCTGAAAACCAACCCCTAGAAGGGACATTTCCCTGTGACTTTGCTTGGGGAGTTGTTGACAACTACATTCAAGTAGACACCACTGTGTCTCAGTTTATCGACCCGAACATTTACCTGTGGGACGTCCATCACAGTAAGAGGCTTATTAAAGTGGATGGAGTTGCAGCCAAGAAGCAGAAATCCTACTGTGTTGCTTTCACTGCCATCTGGCCCCAGATTGCCCTACTGCAGGAAATGCACATCAGGCATTTTCACTTCTCTCTGGGTTAGGCTTTAATCCTCCCCCTGGGTAACCTGTCCCAGGTGAACAGCACAGTCTTGCACTACTACCGCTGTGTGGTCAGTGAGCTGCTCTGTGTCAACATCAAGCCTGGGGTAGCCCTGTGGCAGCCTGCGGCCCAGCACCACAGCCTGCCAGGTCCCCTGGCCAAGCAGGGAGCCTGGGAGAACACTTGCACCGCCCTGGCCTTTGTAGAGTACACCAGACTCTGCTTTGAAGAGCTGGGCCACCACATCAAGTTCTAGATCATGATGAACGAGCCGTACATGCGCAACCTGACCCACCACGTGGGGCATCACCTTCTGAAGGCTCATGCACTCGGTTGGAGCCTGTATGATGAAAAGTTTAGACCCGCCCAGAAAGGTAAAATATCCATAGCCTTGCAGGCTGATTGGATAGAACCAGCCTGCCCTTTGTTCCAAAAGGACAAGGAAGTGGCCGAGAGAGAGTGTTGGAATTTGACATTGGCTGGCTGGCTGGCTGAGCCCATTTTCGGCTCTGGGGATTATCTACGCATGATGAGGGACTGGCTGAACCAAAGAAGCAATTTTCTTCTCCCTTTTTTTCACTGAAGAGGAAAAAAAGTTAATCCAAGTTTCCTTTGACTTTTTAGCCCTAAGCCATTACACCACCATCCTTGTCGACTGGGAAAAAGAAGATCCCTTAAAATACAACTACCTAGAAGTGCAAGAAATGACCGACATTGCTTGGCTCAACTCCCCCAGCCAGGTGGCAGTGATGCCCTGGGGGCTGGGCAGAGTGCTGAACTGGCTGAAGATGAAGTACAGAGGCTGAAGATGAAGTACAGAGACCTCCCCTGTGTATAATTGCCAATGGGATCAACGATGATCCACACGAGCAGCAAGACAAGCTGAGGATGTATTACCTACAAAATTATGTAAATGAAGCTCTGAAAACTTATGTATTGGATGGTATCAATCTTTGTGGATACTTTGCTTATTCATTTAATGATCGCTCAGCTCCAAAGTTTGGCTTTTATCATTATGCTGCAAATCTGTTTGAGCCAAAACCATCCATGAAAAGTTACAGGAAAATTATTGACAACAACAGTTTCCTGGGCCCTGAAACTCTGGGAAGGATTTGTCCAGAAGAATATACCATGTACACTGAATGCAGCTTCTTTCACACCTGAAAGTCTTTACTGGCTTTCATTGCTTTTCTATTTTTTGCTTTTATTGTTTCCCTTTCCCTTATGTTTTACTACTCTAAGAAAGGCAGAAGAAGTTGCAAATAGTCTGAACATTTCTCCTGCTCGTTTGTTTTGAAATAATTATGTGCATACATTGGCTCTTAACCATTTGCACCTCTTCATGTTGTGAAACTAAATTTCATACATTTGGCTTCTAGAAAAACTTTTTGTGGCATATGATAGAGGTTTTGAAATGAGTACAGGTGACTATAAAATCCGGAAAAGGTAAATATTGTCTGGATTTCTTCTCTGTTTTTGCTGATTAAGAAACTGACAGATGTCATAATTTCTGTAACATTCTGTAAGAAAAGCATGGAAAATGGTAACCAGAAATGTACATGACAAGATTAGGAATATTTTTATCTGTGCCCATTTTAAAATTTCATGCTTTTCTTTCAGTAATAATTGCAAGCATTAGAAGAAAAGGTGAAGTCCTAGTTAACAGTCTGTCAACTGCCAGGGTGGTGCCTGATGGCCATGCCTCTTTCTAACCAAGTTTCCCATGAAGATGATGGCAGGATAGAAACAGGAGAGATAGCACAGTGGCCCTAGGCTGAAACATTCCTTTTAAAAGCTGTGTTTCCATTGAATGCTGCTAATATTAATTCATGTATTTGGTTAATCATATACTTAGCAAATTATACAGATTTTTATTTTGTTTAGTATGAAGTTTTGAGGCACTCTCTAAACCCTAGGTCATGGGGATTTTGTCTCATCAGTGCTTGTAGAAAGGACATATACATAGGAGATTCTCACTGAACGTTTGCCAAAGAAAGAAGGAAAAAATACATGAATCATAAGATGATGGGCTCTTAAGGAGGTATAAAGGAGTTATGAAATACACTATAATGCACTGGCTTGTGATGCAGGAAAGAAGGAAGAAATGTTTATGATGAGCAACATTATGATTAACTTGATTATACATTTTTTAAAGCAGAGCTTGGAATGAATGAGATGATTTTCCTGAAAGAATAGGGATGAAATAATATCTCATCCTGTGAAGAGAGACTCCATTATTTTTGTACTTCAGAATGTGCTGTAAATTCTCTGATTTGATAGTTTTAAAACTTATGTTCAAAATGAATCAGGTCTGATAACACTGGAAGACTTGTTTTTGTGATCTCTGAGATCCACTCTGTATTTTTGCATCTGTGGAAGTAACTTTGAACAAGTTTTGCATTGAACTTTTACACTGAAACATACTACTGATTTCAATAGAAAGGGCTAATTAGGGGTTCTCCTTTAATGCTCTTTAAATAAGTCTTGCTGATTTTTAGACAGGGAAGTCTCTCTATTACACTGGAGTTGTTTTATAGATAAGTCAATATCATATCAGGGACGATAAATCAGTCATAATAGTCATAACTAACTTTGCTGACACAGGGTCATAGAGTATAATAAAATACTGTACTGTATTATATACCATCTGGAGAAGTGGTATGATTTTTTTTCCATGAAAGATGAGCTTTTAGTGGTATTCTTTATAAAACTGGACTTATTAAAATCAGACAGGAGAAAATCATTTATTTTATGTATATATTTTTCTGGATGTAAGAGTAATATATGTTAATTGTAAAAAATTGAAAGCACAGAAACTATATGTAAAGAAATAAATAAATGTATAATTTTACAATCCAAAGGTAGTCACTATTAATGTTTTCTATGTATTTTATTTTACAATAAGACCATATTACATATAGTTACCTATCTTTAATTTTTGTTGTATAAATTTCCTTTGTCATTAGTCTCAAAAGAGTAATTTGTAATAGTTGTAGAGAATTCAACTGTCTGGAATATACCACAACTTATTTAATTATTAAAAAAAAATAATAAAAAGGGGAGGGGACGTAACTTCCTGGCAGATTCCCTCCCCTAATTTCAATCCCAAATACTGCAAAAAATAAAAGAGAAAGAAAAATGGAAATCAGAACAAGTAAGGCAAGAATAGTACCACATCAAGGGCTCAGTATTGGTATCTATTGCTGACAGATTGAAGAACAAGCCTTTTGCTATACCCTTGCTATGACCCTTCAGTGGCTGGGAGCAGACAATGGGCAGTGTGACCTCAAAGCAAATGTGGTGGTGTATTTAGAAGGAGCACTAGCCAGTATTTCAGGGCTCTGCACTGTGATTCCCACAGTAAAGCTCAATATAAGCTTTCTGCTGCATCTTTTCCCATCATTGACATTTCCAACTCATAAGGTCTTCCAGATTCTGTTGGCAGGACTGCTTGCTCACAGCTTGAACCTAACACAGAGTCCTTTCCTTTTCCAGATCAGACTCAATGCTGGCAACCTTCCGAGTCACCCATTATATGATCTAGGGTAATATTCCCAGATGTAAAATAAGTTGTTTTCAGATTCCAAAAAGGTCTCCTAGCACTGTGCTTCCATCTTTACAGTAGGGGATACAAGATATGCAATTTGCTTTTTTACTTTAGAGAGCTATCCCAACATTCTTTTAACCATTGGACACCTAAAAACTTCACTAGGAAGCATCTTCCTGAATCTTTGTAGAGGAATCTCCCACCCTCTGGAGAACATCAGTATGCCATCAGTAAAATGGATCTGTGAGATTCTGTAGGATGTCTAGGTAGTCCAGATCCCAAGAAAGTTAACATAGCCCTGAGGACAAATTGCAAATGAATATTGGCCATCCCACATGAATAAAACTGTTTCTGATTCTCTTTCCTGATTAGGATCGAAAGGAATGATTCTGTCATACACTGAACATATACTATGTACCTGCAACTTAGTCTTCTCTAGTAGATAGACCATCCCTGGCACAGTAGCACCTCCAGGTTTCAGTGTCAACTCAGAATGTGCACTCAAAAGTTTTCAAAATGGCTAGGTGTTTTCCCTTTTCCAGTGTATAATTACCCAAATAAATGGCCACAGATCCCTTTGGGAAAAGAAGTAGGGAATCATCACAGGGTATATTTGTCATGGTGTTGCTACTTACCTTTCTTCTAGAAACATCATGCTCTATCACAGTTTCATAATTCCTTGCAGGCCAAATCTCTTAGCTACCCTTCAAACCTTGAAGGTTGTTAAAATTATTGTAGCCTCTAACACTAAAGCTCCTCATCCCCAGGGATATTAATAAGACCATCCCTTTTATTCTCCTACTAGGAGCCTGAACTGCAGAGGAGAGCCATCACTAGGATGCTCTTGCCCCTCTCACCAGAGCTTTCCCAAATGGCCTGGGTGAAATGTGTGTCTTCTGGGCTCTCTCAGGGGACATAATCAACTGTTGTATTTTTGTGGCCTCACATGATTGTCCACTTTCCTCAGCCTCTATTCTTCCTGACATCTTCAAGGATAGCTCAAGCATTTCTACTTCATTCAACATTGGCCATCACTTTCATCAAGCCTCTAAGAAATATTCTGTTCCCTAAGGTTCTTGTCAGGATGTTAAATCTTGTGCCCCAAAATACTATCCACACATCAGTGAATTCTTGCTTATCCTGTCTTATATTTTAGCCCCTTTGAGAGAAAACACCCTAAAATATAATCCCAGGTATACTATATTTCTTCTCCAATATGTACTAGTTAATTCTTTCAGTTCCTAGGATCTTTCAGTTCCCTTTCTCCCTCAGCAGACCCAGCACTTCATGTCCATGTTGTGCTGATATTTAACCCTGAGTTATTGGCGTAACAGTCAAGAGACGAGGTAGGGCTCCTGAGGGGACCACCTTTTGCCTTGCAGAAGAACAGATTCTGCAACATCTATTAAAGCACAAGTGTTAGCAATTACTAGAAAAAAGTAGGTCACTTCTGCAATTCTTACATTCAGAAGCTCTTTAGAGCCACCATCTCCAGTAGCATCCATCCAAATGTCTATAGCCCGTATGTTAGGATCTAAGGTTTTCCCAACAAGGACTTTGACCTTAGCATAAGAGGCCTGCCTGCAGTACAGGCTCCTAGTAGGACAATAAAAGGTTTATTAATATCCCTGGGGATGATTAGACTCTGGAGCTCAGCCATTCTATCGGAGCATCTCAGTGACCTTTCTTCACTGCAATATATAAGAGCTCTCTCTCTTAGATTTTAACTCTTTATAAAAGGTCATCTGATTCTCATTATCCCTCTGCAAAGCATCAATTCAGTGTGGCAATAGCTGGCAAATTCTTCTGTCTTTGCATGCATTGTTCTTCCCAAATCTTCTAAACAACTGAATTATTGCGCTAGAAAAAGCAGTCTTGGCGCATCCCGGCTTCGGCTCAACAGGCGCTGCTCCGCCGGCGCTGGGGAGCGACGCGGCCGTGGTTACCGCGGCCGGCTCGCCAGGAGCCCGCTGCCCGGATAGCGCACGCTCGTCCGCGCACGGAGTGGCCGGGGCGGCTGCGCCGGGATCTCAGCAGGCGACGCCTGGCGTGAATGTCCCGGGGCGCCGCCAGGCCCGTGTGGGCCAGAGCAGCCTCTGCCCCGGCGTCGCGGTATTGATCCAAAGAAGCATTTTTGAAGGCACTAGTACTTCCTACCACTGTCAACTGATTCTTGTTGAAATCTGTTAATTCTACTTTTTGAACACTTATGAATAACCACGCATCTTCCAAATCACCTACCATGAAGCTAAAAGAGAGCATCAACCCTATTCTTTTATATTTCATACATTTTATAGTATCACTTTATACTATTTTAACTTATGTTGTATTTTATTTTTTGTCTGAGTCAAGACAAGAGAAATCAAACCAAATTAAAGCAAAGCCTGTAAATTCAAAACCTGATTCTGCATACAGATCTATTAATAGTTTGGATGGTTTGGCCTCAGTATTGTACCCTGGATGTGATACACTAGATAAAGTTTTTATGTATGCAAAAAACAAATTTAAGGACAAAAGACTCTTGGGAACACGTGAAATTTTAAACGAGGAAGATGAAGTACAACCAAATGGAAAAATTTTTTAAAAGGTTATTCTTGGACAGTACAATTGGCTGTCCTATGAAGATGTCTTTGTTCAGGCCTCTAACTTTGGAAATGGCTTACAGATGCTGGGTCAGAAACCAAAGACCAACACTGCCATCTTCTGTTGAGACCAGGGC